TCGATGTCTTTTGAAACTTCTAAAGATTGCTTCCCCAACCAAATTTGGTATCTCCTCTTGGGTAGGCCATATTTCATCCTGATTCCTCCTAAATCCTTTAGACATGGCTTCTCCTATCCAGGTTCCTGCCTCTGGATTGTCATACTCAACATTAGTTGAGACCCATTCCTCCAATGGTGCTGATCTTACCTTTAATGGCCACAGTATCTGTTTGTAATGTGAGTTTGCATTCTCATAAGCCAAAGATTGTGTAAGAAGTCGCCTAATATTAGGATCAGTTATTTGTAAATCTACTGCTCTGGATAATCTTTCTAAGAATTCAGAGAATCTTTCTCTTGGACCCTATATCACTTTTGAATATGATTCAACTCTTTCCCCTGGTTCACGAACCTTATCCAAAGCATTTAGTGCTGATTCAGGCGGTTACCCGCCACCGAGGCATGGGCTGTAATTCCAAACCACTTCTACACCAGATATAACGATATTCGATGCTATATAGGGAAAACAATATATTTATTTACCAGAGAGAGAGAGAAAGGGAGACAGTCGCACAGACCAGGAGTTAGAAGCATGGCTGGCTTCCAGGAGAAAAGGGGAGGTCCTTTTCCTTTCTCTTCCTTTTATCTCTACCTGTGCTAATTTACTTGTCCCCGCCCTGTTGGGCGGATAGCTTTGTGGGGTTCACTCCTATAGCCATCAACTACACTGGGTTTTCAGGATGCAGTGTAGCTCTGAGCCTTTCTCAAAACCATTTCCTGGGCTGACATACTTCACTTAGCAAGAAGTTAGCTATAGGCAGGACTATGGACACCAAAGAGCACTCACTGTTAAGTCCATCAAGACTTTCCCAGAACTATGGACTTTGATGGAGTAGGTCTTTGTTTTCATATTTGACAGGTGGTGCTACATGCTGAGTTTTACAGCCTGAATGGCACTTCCATCATGGAGTCCACTGGGCCAAGGCCTCAGGGTCTACTAAGGTCTGGGGACTGTTACACTGTCAAAAGGTTTCTGTTTAGCTGGAGACACCTCCTGCTGCTTCCTGGAAACGGGGGCTGCTTCTCTCTTTGTCACTTGGAGTCAGAAAGGGCTACCTTGACTTATTGAAGAGAGTTCTATTCACAGGGCATGGGAAGGGGCCTGGCTTTGAGTGTTGGAGGGCCAGCTGGACCCAGGTAACCACAGGAGAATGAGTAAGAGGTGAGAAGCAGGAGACAGGGAGGTGACAGGAGGCGACAGGAGAAGGCCTGAGGAACATGTAAGACTTGGCGACCACTGGGAAGACAGATCCACAGAGCTGCAGCAGGGGAGTGTGGCAAGGGAACCGGGAGAGCCTCTTTTGATGGTCATTTCTCATGTCTCACCTGCCTTCCTGTCAGTAACCTTGTCCCCAGTCGAGGACATCCCAAACCCATGCCTGGCTTCACCAAAAGGCCCAGAGATGGAGACGGAGGTGCAGGCAATGGGTCAGAAGACATCAGAAAGGGCTGGAGAGATGGTTCCGCAGTTAAGAGCACTTCTGCTTAAAAGACATTCGTGGTTCCCAGTGTCTACACAGGTCAGCTGACAACTCCAGCTCCAAGCAATCAATGGCTCTTTTCTGGACTCTGCAGGAACTGAACTCATGTGCACGTAATACTTCCTCTACTATACTCATAATTAAAACTCATCTGGAAGACAATTCTGAATCTGTCTCCTGTCCTGGGAATAGGGAGGACGGAAGCAGCAGCCCGGGACTGCCCTGTACTGTGGTACCTCCTCAGCCTGTGTGCCCTAAGGCTCAAGTTTTCCACAAAGTGGAGATGCCATCCTCCTCCACCTGGCGCTCAACAGTGAGTCCTTCCCTTTTTTCCTATGTGGTTGCCCAGCACCCTTGGAGGAAGCTCACTGCTTGCAGAAAGGCTCCAAGGCTGCATAAGAGCCCCTCCTGGTGGTAAAAGCAGGTACTGCACCCCATTCCAGTACAGCTCCCTTCAGGACACAGGCCTGAGACCTTCCCAGCCACCACTGCACCCTATCATTGCTTCTGCAGAGTGAAGTGGCTCCTCCTCCGCCTTTGTCGTGTTTTCGAGACAGGGTTTCTCTGTGCAGCCTTGACTGGCCTGGAACTCACTCTATAGAGTAAGCTGGACTCAAACTCAGAGATCCGCCTGCCTCTGCCTCCTGAGTGTGGGGATTAAAGGTGTGAGCCACCACCAACCAGCCCTCTCCCACTTCTTTCTTTTTTTTTTTAAGATTTATTTATTTATTACATATACAGTGTTCTGCCTATATGCCAGAAGAGGACACTGGATTGAATCGTAGATGGTTGTGCGCCACCATGTTGTTGCTGGGAATTGAACTCAGGACCCCTGGAAGAACAGTCAGTGCTCTTAACCTCTGAGACATCTCTCCAGCCCCTTTTGTTTGTTTTTTTGCTTTGGAGGCTGTCCTAGGAACTAGCTCTGTAGACTAGGCTGGTCTCGAACTCAGAGATGCTCCTGCCTCTGCCTCCATGCGCCACCAACGCCCGGTCCAAGTGAAAAAGTTTTGAGTCAGGATCTCACTACCTTTGGGGGAACTTAGAACAACTATGTAGACCAGGCTTGAGCTCTAAGAGTTCTTCCTCCCTAGTCTGGCCTTAAATTTTTTTATTTGTGTGTGTGTGTGCCCACAGGCTTTTAGCTTGGCATGCATTTGGAGGTCAGAGGACAACCGTGTTCAGTGGGTTTCAGGGATTGAACTCACAAACCAGGTTTGGGCAACAAGTGCGTTTACCCACTGAGCCATCTCCAGGGCATTTTGTTTTTGTTTTTTGAGACAAGGTTTCTCCATGTAGCCCTGGTTATCCTAGAATTCGGTCTGTAGATCAGTTGGCCTTGAACTCAATCAAACTCAAAGAGATCCTCCTGCCTCTGCCTCCCCAGTGCTGGGGTTAAGGGTTAAAGGAGTGTGCCACCACTGCCCACTTTTTTTTTTTTTGATTTATTATTTATACAGTGTTCTGTCAGCACGTCTGTCTGGATGCCAGAAGAGGGCACCAAATCTCATTACAGATGGTTGTGAACCACCACTGGATTGCTGGGAATTGAACTCAGGACCTCTGGAAGAGTGGCCAGTGCATCTTTCCAGCCCTACTTTTTGTTTTTAAGGCAGTCTTGCTATGTAGCCCAGGGTATCCTGAAACTTGAAATCCTCCCAACTCAGACTCCCATCATACAGGTGTGAGCCCCACACCCAGCTGAAGAGTGTGTGTGTGTAGTCCTTTTAGTGCTTTCAACTTCCCCCAACAAGGCCTGTGGTGACCCCTCTTTCCCTCCAGACACTGGCCATCCCTGTGCCAAGTTTCATTTTTAATGGCTCTCACAGCGTGGTTCTTTAGTGCAGCTACAGTCACCTCCTGGGAGCCATGGTGGTCCTTCCTTGGTCAGGGCTTGCTGACCTGATCTAGCCACCCTATCAAAGTCCTCCCATTTAGACAGTGCAGCAGTGTGGCCATTTCTTCCTGGCTTGTCTGAGACAAGGTCTCACCTATCCCAGGCTAGGCCTTAAACTTATTATGAAGTTAAGGATAGTCTGGAGCTCATGATTTTTCTGCCTCCACCTCTCAAGTGCTGGGATTACAGGTGTGCGCCGTTACACCCAGATGTTTTAATACATTTTAAGAGCCTTTTGTGGGAGCCGGGCGGTGGTGGAGCACGCCTTTAATCCCAGCACTCGGGAGGCAGAGGCAGGCGGATCTCTGTGAGTTCTAGACCAGCCTAGTCTACTGAGCGAGTTCCAGGACATGGTCCAAAAAACAATACAGAGAAATCCTATCTCGGAAAACAAAACAAAACAAAAAAAAAGAGCCTTTTGTGTGGGTATGTGTATCCCTGTGGATATATGCACATACTGTTGACTGTCTTCCTTCACTGCTCTTCAACTCATTCCCTGAGGTGGTCTCTCACTTAACATGGGATTTTGGAATTTGGCTAGACTGGCTAGCTAATGAGTTCTGGGGACCCACCTGTCAATGCCCTCACCACATCCCTGTCCCTATGTTAGTGGTTATATACTTATGCCATGAAGTATGGATCTCGGGGTGCTAGGGACTTGAACTTAAACTCATATACTTGTATGCCAGGCATTTTACTGAGAAACCCCCTATTTTTCTGTTGTTGTTTTTGTTCAGCTTCTCTGTGTAGCCCTGGCTTTTCTAGACCTCACTCTGTAGACCAAGCTGGCTTCGAACTCTAGAACACTCCCTGCTTCTGCCTCCACCACACTTGCCTCTACTGGACATTTTAAAACTTCCAAACAGGAGAACAGAAACACAAGCAGGCATAATGGAGTGACAACAGACAACTTAGACCCTTTCGTGTAAGCATGTGCTTGGAATGTCACTTTCCCACAGTGCTCGTAGACAAGTTAGGATAGAAAAGTCAGAAGGCTGTGAGTGGCTCCACAGCACACAGGAAGGCCTTGGGTTGACTACAGTCATAAGACTTGCCGAGAAGAAGGTATCTTCACAAGATGAGGACTCGCCTGGACAGACGAGAGGTGGCACCCCTCACACACTATGGTTTCACATATCTCCAATCTACAGGCATCTTTACTGTGGGTTCTGTTGTTGGGATTTGAGTTGTCCAGGCAGGCCCTGAACTCATGATGCAGTCAAAGATGACTCTGTGCCCCTGGACCTACTGTCCTTGCTTCCCAAATGCTGAGTGAACCCATGCAACTGGAATTCGGTCCTTCTGAGTCTCTGCAGTGAATGAGACTCCATGACACAGCCTTGCCCACACCTCTGGCTTGGAAGCACCTGCTTTATATTCTGACAGGGACAACAGGCACCCTTCAACCCTGAACCTTGGGGTCTTGGTCTGGGGGTTACAATCTCTAATGAGAATTTTCACATTCTTTGGGGGCTACTTTTATTTGTGATAATTAACAGGGGCAGAGTACCAACTCCCAGGACAACAGCCATTCCCCTCCACCCCAACTGTCTCCTGGCAACAAAACTCAAGCGGGCACCCAAATGACAAAAGTTACATTTAATTTACAATGTAGTAAAGGTTACAGGTAAAAAGCTACACTTGAAGCAGAAAAGGCCTATTACACAAATGTACAAATCTGTACAAAGCTCATCAATGGTTCCTACCTTGTCTCCTGTCAGCCAGGCCTAGCCTGGAGCTCTGAATAACCTGAACTCTCCACTGGGAGGTGGGGACGGATTGAGGGAGCCTCCAAACTAACAGTTGAGCATGCCCTCCTGACTGGTCCTTACATAGCAGTCTCTCCCTGTTCAACGTGAGCCGCCCTAACTGGTCAGTCTCAGAAACTGCCTTGCGGTACGCACAAAAAGACGGTGCCACAGGGAGGATGGCACCGGAACTAAATGAGAACTAGGCACGTGGAGTGTTCAGTGTGGACAAGGAAGATAGGTAAAGTCCAACAACACCATAAACCATACATAAACCCGTGTCCGCGACACTGGCCACAGACAAAGGCAACTCAACGTGGTCACTTCAGCAGAAAGGACAGGAGAAGGCCTAACTACTGGACCTCAAAACCAAGAACCCTTGAGCGTACATACACCTTGGTTACAATGAAGAATGCCAACCAACCTGGGATCCATGGTGACCATTTTGCTACCTGGGACCCACAAGGAAAATGAATTTAAATGAGGCTACCGCCTCCTCCATAGCTCTGGGTTCCACCCAGTGTGGATTTCACATGACGGAGGCGGAGCACAGGGAGGGCACCCGGGCAGCCTCTCTCCACACTTCGTGCTCTGACTCAGGTCTCTAACTGGTACTTTAGCCCCACCCCTCGTCAGTATTACATGGTTAGGACCCCAGGAGACTTTCTGAAAGACAGATACCGCACACATGGAAAGTTTTCTCCCTAGTTCATTGCCAGCCCTCCACCCATTCCCGCCCGTCCCCACCCGCTCCATAGCCAAAAGTATCAAATCAGTAAGGAAGGCGTGGGCTTCTTGCCTGGCCAAGCCTCCTTTGCGTACTTCTTCTTCTTGGGTTCATTTACAGCTTCAGGGTTATAGACCGCAGGGTTTGGTGTGGGGTTTATGGTCACTGCTGATGGCACAACAGGAGTCAAGTCCACGTCAGGGGCGAGGTTCGGGTATGGCATGGGCAAGCCACCAATGAGTGCTGTCCCGTGGATGCCATGCGGCTGGGAGCCCGTTTCATTATGTGTGGGGGGGCAGGCCCCCGTAGAGTCCTCCGCTGAAGGCAAAGTTCTGCATGCGCCTGTTCCCTGTCTCCTCCAGGCCCAGAGAGCCAGAGCCCTCCATCCGCTTCTTCTGTGGTTTGCCACAGGAGAGGAAAAAAACAGAAAGGAGATGTAAGGTGAAACCCTCGTTTCTTCCCATTCTAGCCTTAGAAAGCTAACATTTGAGAAAAGTCTCACTGTTTCTGCACTCTCAGGGTCTGATGCTATCTGAGCAATGGCTGTTTCTCAAGGTTTATTTATTTACTTATTTATCTATTAATTAATTAATGTACTTACTTATTACACAGTGTATACAGTGTTCTGCCTGCACTGCACACCAGAACTCATTAGAGATGGTTGTGAGCCACTATGTGGGTGCTCAGAATTGAACTCAGGTTCTCTGAAGAGCAGCCAGAGCTTCTTAACCTCTGAGCCATCTCTCCAAACTCCTTTTTTTATTTCTTTTGAGACAGAATCTCTCTTACACAGCCCTAGCTGTCCTGGAAGTCACTCTGCTGCACAGAATGCTTGCCTGTTCACCTCAGGTTGAGAAAAACAGGACACTGCAGTGTCACCAAAGCCACCTGTAACTCCAGCTCTAGGGGACCCCACACCTGTGATTCCCCAAAGGTACATACCTCCTCATGAGCATACACACAATTAACAATAAAATGGCCAAATAGCCATTCCTTTTTTTTCCCCCTTTCTTCTTTTTTGGCTTTTCAAGATAGGGTTTCTCTGTGTAGCCTTGTCTGTCCTGGAACTCGCTTTGTAGGCCTAAACTCCCAGCCTGCCTCCTGACTGCTGTGAATAAAGGCATGTGCCACCATACCCTGCTACAACCATTCTTCATTTGAAGGGCAAACTCCATCCTCTGATAGGATGATGCTAAATAGGAAATTAAAGTGATAATCCACTTATTTGGGGGGGGCAGGAGGAATAAGACGTGCTAAGTCCATGTTGGATGTCCAATTCCTTTGGAAACTTTTTTTTAAACAATAACTATCAATACCAGTTAAAATAGAAATCCATCCTTTGGAAACTTATTTCTAAAATGAAGGGCAGAGGCTCACTGTCACTGAACTGCAGAGACTGCTCACAGCTGCTCATCAGTTCTGATCCCAACCAGGGCTGGTCTACTTCTTGGGCATCTTGGTCTCTGCCCTCAGAAGACACCATGTTTACTCAACTGGCACTGTGTACTATAGCTTTGCACTTCTGGACCAAAGCAATCCTCCTGCCTCAGCCTCCTAACTAAATGGGAACGACAAGCATGTACTACCCAGTTAGGCGCACCCTTTGTTGTTTTTCAAGACAGGGTTTCTCTGTGGCATTGGAGGCTGTCCTGGAACTCACTCTGTAGACCAGGCTGGCCTCGAAATCAGAGCCTCTTGCTTTGCCTTTTGAATGCTGGGATTAAAGATGTGCACAATCACGCCTGCCTGGCCTTGAGTGCCCAATTTTAAACAGTCCAAGAGTAATCACATTTGTGTCAAGAATGCGTGTGGCTCACTAGGGGCCTAGAGCCAAAGGGGTGGGGAGTACCCTATGTCCACTGGGGTGGTGGTTAGACGCATGCATCTGGTTATCAAAGTTGAAACTATACAGACAGAGTTTGTTCTTATACATGCATATCCTACACCACAGCAAAACCGACACAAAGAGCAGGGCAGTGGTGGCGTATGCCTTTAATCCAGGCACTCAGGAGGCAGAGGCAAGCGGATCTTTGTGAGTTAGAGACCAGTCTGGCTACAAGAGCTAGTTCCAGGACACCTGTCTCGAAAAACAAACAAACAAAAAAACTGACACAAAGACACAAAGCCACTTACTGGCTTTGCATGTCGACAACAGAACATACAGAAAATGGAAAGAGGAGCTCAAGAGTGTCAGCGCTATAGCATCCTGCAAAAGAAGTCCCATGCTCTACTCGAGCACACTGCACCACACACGAAACAGCTGTCCTGTCCAAGACTCTCGGTTGTTACATCTAAAGAATTATTTATTAAAGCTGGGTGGCAGTGTCACCCCTTTAATCCCAGCAGAGGCAGGGGGATCTCTATGAGTTCAAGACCATCCTGGTCTACAAAGCAAGTTCTAGGACAGCCAGAGCTGTCCAGACAGACAGAGAAACCCTGTCTCAAAAAAAAAATTCTATTAAAAAAAGTGTGAAGAGCCAGGACAGTGCAAGTGGGAGAGCTCTCTGGGCTCCATCCTCGGCACCAGAGTGTGCACGGGAAAATGCGCAGGTTACCAACAACTACACATTTTACGCAACTCATCTGGGCATCTGTGGATTTTGGCACCTGGCGTGAGTGTGTGAGTAGTCTACGATCAAGGATGACTGCCTTCTAAAGACTAAAAACTCAAACTTCCTCCAGCATTTCTGATTAGTCACTTGCAAGCATTTTGCGCACCTCTGTTACAGCCACCTGTCACTGTAAGCAGCAATGCAATGCGCACCCTTAGCCAGTTCTCCCGCCAGGGAACTAACTCAGTGTGCTGAAAATCAGGGCATTTGGTAACCTTTACCTCTCCATTCCCAAACATACCTGACCTTTAAACCTAACTGACAGGATCACAATGTGTGCCACTCCCGTGCTTACAGTAAGGGCATGACTAGGGTTGAAGAGTGCAGTAGTTAAGAGCACTTAATACTTTTCTAAAGGACCCAGGTTCAATTCCCAGCACCCACATGGCAGTTCATACTCATCCATAACAGTTCTTAAAGGCACCAGGGACACACATCATACATGTAGGGAAACACTCATGTACATAAAACAGTAAGTACATAAACCTTTACAAAGGTACAACAATAACTGTTTTGAGACAGGGCTTCTCTGTATAACAGTCCTGGTTGTTCTGGAACTCACTTTGTAGACCAGGCTAGCCTCGAACCCACACAGACCTGTCTGCCTTTGCTTCCCAAGTGCTGCGAGATTAAAAGCATGCACCACCACTGCCTGGCAAAATAATTTTTAAAAGAGCATGGAAAAAGCCCCATGTTAATGCTTTTCTTTCATCCTGAGCCAGCAGAGAAGACAAAAGGAAGATAGACCTTCCACATCCTTAAGGAAGACGACTACACTTTCAGAGCAAATTGTTAGGACACTGTATTCTGGCTGGTCACCTGAAGCCCTTCTGTGGGGATCCCAGGATTTCTGAGACACAGGTTGAAGGTAAGGGTATTCCCGAAGAAAGAAAAGTGGGAGAGGAAGACTGGAGAGATGGCTCAGCACTTGAGAGCACTGGCCGCTCTTCCTGAGGACCCAGGGTTAGCTCCCAGCATTGGCGTGGTAGCTCACAATTGTCTCTAACTCCAGTTCCAGGGAATCCAATGCTCCCTCAGGTTTTCTAGGGCACCAGGTACATATGTGGTATGCATATATACATGCAATCGAAACACTCATAGATAGAAAAATAATTTAAAAGAAATTTTAAAGGGAGAGAAGCACAAGATGTTATTTTAAAATTAGACCCATTAGCATTCATCTATACAAAACAGTTTTTTTCCTTTCTTTTTTTTGGTTGTGGTGCTGAGGATCAAAGTCAGGACTTTGCTAAACACATGTACTACAACTGAGCTATACCCAAACGGTGAGTTTTTGAGCCCAGACTATCTGGCATTTCAAACCCTCTCCAAAGGAGCCTCCTACCTTGACTGGAACCACTGCAGTCTGCACCATGTTCCGGAAGCGGCCGACAGAGGGATCCACGTCCTCTGCAAAAGGAGGTAAGAGCAGGGTTGGGAGAATAAGGGATTCTGCAGCACACCAAACAACCAGCTAACACTAAACATGTCACTGCTAAGTCTTCCAATAACCCCATGAGGCAGGGACTGCTGAACCGCGTTGAATAGATGAGAAACAGACCACAGCTTGGGAAGAATCAAAGTGCTAGGTCAGGCTAGTTGTCTGAGAAGGGAGGAGCCAGGACTTTAATCCAAGAACCAGAAACAGGCCTGTGCTTTAGATCATGATGCATTGCCTTCCCAGAGTCTTCTTTTTTCTATGTATTTCTCTTTGGAGAGCCGATAAAAAGCAGACTATTTAAGTGATAAAAAATAAAATGACAAGTGGTCATAACCACATATATTGCCCTGTGTGTTCATCAGCAAAGAACAGACTCAGGAATCAGAACCAGGGCTTCATGTTCACCACTCTCACTAGAGGGCCTGAGAAGCCCATCAAAGCAGCTCCTCCTCTCGGTTTACAACATGCCCCACTACCCTACAGAGCTTCTGGTTTCACTCTGCAGGGAGGGAACACCAAGGTAGGTAAGGAACCCACTTTCAGTCACTCTTTTAAGCCTCAAGCACTGGCTACCACACATAGAAGAGCATGATACTATCCTACCTTTGAAGAACCCACAGTATCAAATCAGACAGGCTGTAACCCATCAAAGGTGGGCCCTGAGTTCAAGGCTGGCCTACACACAGTTCCAAGCTAGCTGGGGTACACAGTGATACCCTGCCTTATTAAACAAACAAACAAACAAACAAACAAACCCTTTAGTTATGTATAAGTGTGAGTAAGTACAAAGTATGAGTGCATGTGTCCATGGATACAATGCTAGATCCTCTGGAGCTGGAGTTACAGGTGGTTTTGAGCTGCCCAACATGGGTGCTAGGAATGGAACTTGGGTGCTGTGCTGAGCCATCTCTCCAGCCCCAACACCAAAGTGTCAAATACTCTCCAAGCTGAAAGGTGGCTGGGTGAGTAGAGAGGACGTAAACAACTTTAAGCAGACAGGCAGTGGTGGTGCACGCATTTGGGAGGCAGAGGCAAGCAGACCTCTGTGAGTTTGAAGCCAGCCTGGCCTGGTCTACAGAGCTAGTTCCAGGACAACCTCCAAAGCTATACAGAGAGTGTATAGTAACAAGGTGAGTGAAGGTGGCAAAAGCCACACCTCACTTACACTTCATATAACACAACACACCAGGTTAGCAGAAGAGAATCAGCTTTGCTCTCTATAGCATCTTTTATCTAACTTCTGTCAGGAACATCCCCAGTGGCCCATAGACTGTGTTTACTACTGAGACCTTAATCTTTCCATCAAAAGGAACTAGGGGGCTAGAGACTGCTCAGTGACTACCCTTCCAGGACCCAGGTTCAATTCCCAGCACTCACATGGCAGCTCAAAACTGTAACTCCAATTTCAGGTAACTTGACACCTTCACATAGACATACAAGCAGGCAAAACAGGAATGCACATAAAATAAGAATAAATTATTTAAAAAAAGAAACTGGGGAGAACTCTCACCTGGGTTGATGATCTCATCATCCTCACTGAAAGTCACCCGTGAGTTCTTCCTCTTCCTCTTTGGTCTCTGAATGTCCAGATTCCCCTCCTCAATAGTGAGGGTTGAAATTCGTTTGTTGTGGGCAGTGTTGAACTCTGTCAGGTTCTAAGCCAAGGTTCACACAAGAAAGACTAAATTAGTACATAGGGAGTTTCAGGGAGAAAATACTAAATAAAGGGGAGGAGGCATTTAGGGCTTCCTCTGGTCTTGGAAGGCCAGCAAGACTGCTTTCTGCAACAGAGGGTTCCTAGTGTCTTAATTAAGACTAATAGAGCATTTAACTCACTGACCATGAGAGCGCCATTTGAAGGGAGGTGAAAGGCTGTCAGTGAACAGGTCGTCTTTGAAATCAGGGATGTTTGTTTACTTTTCTACTCTGGAAGGAATGATACCACAACTTTATGACAAGAATTAAAGGAAATTTACCTGGGAAGAATACTAAGATTTGTTTTAAAGTAACAAATATGAAAAGACAACTATATCTTCTCAGTAGCTAGTCTTTAAAAATCACCCTTCTCAAATTATAACATTTCCTCCTTCGTGTGCTGATATACAGAAACAAGACTGAAACACCACATCTCCTTTAAAATTCATGTATTTTGGGTTTTTTGTTGTTGTTGTTGTTATTTTGTTTCTAAAACAGGGTTCCTCTGTGTAGCTTTGGAGGCTGTCCTGGAACTTGCTCTGTAGACCAGGCTGGGCTCAAACTCAGAGATCCACCTGTCTCTGCCTCCTGATTGCTGGGATTAAAGGTGTGTGACATCACCCCTTGGCTTTTGCTTTAAAATTCTTAATGACACTGGCAGTGCATTTTTGACATTAATATCTTGTTACTTTCCTTCCCGCATCTGGCCCCAGTGCCACTGACAATCACCAGTCCATCTCTCTCATGATTACTTCCTGCTTCTTTCTACTTGGCTGGACTTACTCCAACTGCAGCCTGACATAGTCCAAATCCACTGAGGACCTAACACCCTGACCTGAAAGACAGGGAAGTATAATAGCCTGGAGGGGGACAGACAAGAATGACTACCACCAAGGCCCTTCTCAGGCTTCCGGTGAGGCTACCTCAGAAGAAAATGACCTCTACATTGTTAATCCTATTGTTTTTCTTCCGGAAACCTGGGAAACTGCTGTAGTGTACAGCAACAGCAAATGCACAGGAATAATTAAGAACATTTGTATTTGGTCTGTGTGAACAGACAAACCACACCACTGTAGTAACAGACAAACGAAATCACAGGCTGGAGATTCAGGATGGTTGTAGAGTGAGTGTTTAGCATGCACATGGCCCTGAATTTAATTAATCTCCAACACCAAAATAAAGTGAAAGATTAAAAGAACAACACTTGGGCTGGAGAGATGGCTCGGCGGTTAGGAGCACTGACTGTTCTTCCAGAGGTCCTGAGTTCAATTCCCAGCAACCACATGGTGGCTCACAATCACCTTGAATGAGATCTGGTGCCTTCTGCTAGCACGCAGGCAGAAGACTGTATACACAATAAATAAATAAAATATTAAAAAAAAAGAACAACACTTTTACCACACAGAAATTAAACTTTGTAAAATGCATGGCCATATAGGTATTTATATCTAGAACAAAAGTAGCCTAGTCCTTATTTGTTTATTTAATATTTTATGTATGTGGATGTTTTGCCTACATGCATGTCTGGGTACCACGTGTGTGCCCATAACTCTGCAACTGGAGTTACAGATGGGTGTGAGCCACCATGTGATGCTGAGAATCAAGCAGGGCCCTCTGGAACAGTAGCCTGTGACCTTAACCACTGAGCCGCGCTCCAGCCCCAAAGCAGACTATTGTTAAAGATTCCTGGGCTGTCTGCTCACCAGCAAAAAGTCCAAATGAATGAAAACATTGGCTTTGCTAAGATAGTGTTAGCCAACAGAACTTTCTGTGAAGACAGAAATTATAGTCTTCCATGGGTATCCGAGCTGTGTGTGTACACTCAAGGACTTCCCCTGGATAGCAAATCTCGGGTGTCTATGCAGGCTCCCACAAACTTTCATAAACTCTAGATCATACTTAATGAGAGCATCTATACCTTCAACAATGTCAATGTTATAAAGTTATATTGTTTACAGAGACTCTCATGACAGAGTTGACTTAATTCTCAACACGTTACCCACTAGATATGTGAAGACGGAATACATGAAATGTGGTTAGCAACTACTGCACTGGAGCATGTAGCTCTATGCAGCCATAAGAACAGAAAAAAACAGGCTGCAGATATAGCTCAGCAATTAACAGCACTGGCAGCACGCTCTTCCAGAGGACCCGTATTTGATACCCAGCACCTACATGGTAGCTCACAACTGTCTGTAATTTCAGTTCCTGAGGATCTAACTCCATATTCAGAACTCAATGGTATGTGCATACATTTATGCAGGCAAAACACCAAACACATAAAATAAATAACATCTAAAAAGAACCGCACAAACTAAAACAGAAGGATGCAACTCCTTGGTCTCAGTCTCTAATAGCCAGTGAAGAAGCACATGGTCCCCACATGTGCAGGGAAACCTGATCACAGCTGGCCATTTGCATTGTCAAGCGCTCATTACCACACTGAAAAGAGCCTCCTCCTACTACAGCACCGTCATTCAGAACCAGGAAGAACAGCTACACATAGCAAACACAAGGGTCCCAAAAGACAAAAAATGACAAGGAATTACATCGAGCTCAGTCTCCTCTTCTGGAAGTCCCAGTAAGCCCTTGAGTTCATCATCTTCTCCACCCATCTTCTCATCTCCTTTCACAGCTGATGGCAATGTCTGTGGCTTCTCTCGCAGAGTGTATGCCCTTGTGGATGCACCAAATGAGACCGTAGAATCGATGGGAATCTGTTGAGGCTTGTGAGGTTCCAACCGAATGTGACCCAAGAAAGTGCCATGAGCTGGGAATAACCAAGTCAGTAATGTAAGCAGAGAGATCAAAAGCAGCCAGGGAAAGCACCGTCCTTGACTCCTGGCCTCCACAGCACACCACTTTTGCTGTTCTGATCTGATAATAAGTGTCACATTCAGGACTATGTCACCAAAAGCAGCTTTTTTTGTTTGTTTCTTTTTCCAGTACTAGGGTCAAACCTAGGGTCTTAGCCATCCTAGGCAAGCACTCTACCATTGAGCTACAACCGCAGCCCTTGGTTTTTGAGACAGGGTCTCACTATTTAGTTAGGACTGGTTTGCAACTTGCAGCCAGTTTGGACTCAAACAAACTATGTCAACCAGAATGACTCATGATTCCCCTGCCTCATCCTCCTAAGTGCAGGGAATGTAGAGACGTGTGCCACTGTCTGCAGAAAAGACGAAAATGTTGCTGGATTCACTTCATGCTGTCTTGTTATCAAGGAGCTTTGAATCTCTTCAGTGGATCTCTTACACATCTTTAAATCTGCTGATATCCAAAAAACACCAGTGCCTGTTATCTGCTGCCAGAAAGGCAGGAATGGCTCCAATTGAGCAGAAGCCATGCTCTGCTCTCCAAGGCACGAAGCAAACATAGGTGTGATCTGCCCTCTCTAGCTCCAACTCTAAGAACATGAAAACTACTGGTCTGGTGGCATTATGCTTTAGCTTTTCCCCCAGAAGAGGAGAGGAGACTGGTCAACACAGATACAATGTCAATGCCAAGGCAAGCCAAAAATCCTACCAGATAAGGCTTATCAAGTCCTCATGGAAACAGACTGGGGAGGTGTGTGTCTGCGTGTGCTTGGGTGGGTGGGAGGGTCAAGCATGATGAGTGTAAAACTTTGTACATTTTATTCTTTTTATGGTGGCACACAAACAAACTTTAGTGGTCCACTCCATCCAGTCTCACCGCATTTCTGAGGACTATTTAAGCAAAGTTTAAAATCTTACTAATTGTGCGCTGTACTTATAAAATGAAAATTGTTGTAATTCAGTTAAAGCAAAGTATATCCGGGATAAATAACCTACTGTAAATAACAAATGTTGCTCATAACAAGTATTTGGTAAACATCCCATATTACTACATACCAATGACACTATTCATGATTTCAACTTAAACTGGATCAGAGTTTGCCATAGTCTTATAAGTACTTGAACATCAATAAACTGTGTTCCTTAATGCCATTTTATTCTCGCCACATACAGATGTGTCCAAGAAGAGTCCCCCAAACTATCTTTTCTCCTTAATTATTTCAAGAAAATAAGAGATAAATAAAGAAGAGCTGGTTAAAATAATTTCCCAGTCCAAGACCCCCACAGGAGCAGGGAACGGGGTAGGCACTTACTGCTGTTGAGATCTATCAAGAAAACCCTCTTCAGGTGCTTGTGGTAAACCAGTGCTGCGTGGACTCGAGAGCAAGACTGATGGTCGATGGTAAAGTCACACAAATCAGGGTTTCTCCCAAATAAGTAATACTTCTTCTCATCAATAATCAGTTTCTAAATAAATATGAAATTGCATTATTACTTCGTTCTTACTGCAACCAAATTTAGCAAAACCTTCCAGTCACATAAGTGGAGAATCTTGAATAGGTAAAATTTCCAACAACTGAGAAAAGCATTTCCCATTGTTAAGTTCTAGGGTCTGGTAGGATCGGCACAGGGGGTTTCCAGCAAACTGTGCCAGTCTCTCCCACGCAAGCTTCTGACCATCATAAGATCCACCATGGGAACCTCTTTCACATGGGATGCACATTGGCTCCCAAACGACCAGCATGCATGCATTCTTCTTACTTCTAGCTAAGATAAAAACAGCTCCATTAGTTCATCCTGGCTCCTGAGGGCTATTACTCAAGTCTGTTCCATGCATGCCACTGAAATTCCAAATGATGGACCTCTTCCCCAGGGCATAAACCCATCCAAGTTCAGCAAAAATGTCTTCATGGCAGGACTGTCAGCTGAAGAACAGGGATCTGGGCTATTAAGCAGAAAAAAAAAATGTCTTTGCCTATTTCTAAGTACTTCTTTCAAGTCAGTGGCATAAACTTACCTCAAAAATGCTCTATGAGCCAGGTGGTGGTGGCACACTCATTTAATCCCAGCACTCAGGAGGCAGAGGCAGGCAGATCCCTATGAGTTCAAGGCCAGCCTAGTCTACAGAGGTAGTTCTAAGAAACCCTTTCTTGAAAACCTCTCCCACAAATGCTCTATCTACAGGCCCACCTCTATGTACTCAAATAGCAGCTTACCAAGCTAAAACTTTTTGATGGAAGATTACATTTCATCTCCAAATACAATCCTCCATTGTGTAGAGCTTGTATGAAAAACAAAACTGTTCTTAATTCTATTAAATGTAAGTGGCCTAACCCTGTGAGATAAATTCTTGTATTCATTTTTGTTAAATGTAACTCTGGGAGCTGGAGATATGGTTCAGTGGTTAAGAGCACTTCCAGAGGACCTGGGTTCAATTCTTAGCACCCAGCTGTCCATAATTCTGGTTAAAGGAGACCTAACACTCTCACAAAGATATACATGCAGGCAAAGCACTAATGCTTATAAAATAAAAATTTAAATAAAACTCTGGTTGCCCTAGAACTCTACACAGACTAGGCTAGCCTCAAACTCAGAGAGATTCTCCCATACCTCCTAAGTGTTGGGATTGAAGTTGCAAGCCACCATACATTGCTGAAATAAAAATTTTATTAAGAGTTGGAGTGGAAGCTGAATGCCTTTAAAGCCAGCACTCAGGAGGCAGCGATGGGAGATCTCAGAGTTGGAGACTAGCCTGGTCTATATAATGAGTTCCAGGACAGCCAAAGCTATTATATAATAAAACCTGGTTTCAAAGGAAAAAGAAAGAAAGAGGGATGAAAAGATGGTACAGGGGACCAGAGCACTGGGATGCTTTTACAGAGGACCCAGGTTTGGAACCCCAGAACCCACATGTGACTTCTGGCCTCCACAGGCATCAGGCATGTACACAGTGCACAGTCATATACCTAAAGCAAAAATTTCTTTTTTTCTTTTTGCTTGTTTTTTTGAGACAGGGTTTCTCTGTATTGTTTTGGAGCCTGTCCTGGAACTCTCTCTCTGTAGACCAGGCTGGTCTCAAACTCACAGAAATCCACCCGTCTCTGCCTCCTGAGTGCTGGGATTATTTTTATTTTCAAAAAAAAAAAAAAAAAGAAAGACCATTTGGTTAGCAAATGAGTAGGAAGGGCAGGAAAATAAAGTGTATTCTTTGAGCTGCATCACACTCTATGACAAGCTCAACTGTTGTCACATAGGGTTATAAATTATAGTCATAGAATGAAGGACACTAGGGGATTATTGCCAACACAGTCTTATTTCCAGCCTAATGCTGGTGGTCTAGTGTGAGCACATGATGACCATCATTTAATATGCTGTCTTGTTCCTTAAATACAAGGTCTCATTGAGCTCTGGTTCACATTCCACCCTACATTCCTAAAATCCCAAGAAGCCAGGAACGGTAACTAACACCTATTATCTTAAACTTCAAGCCAGGCATGGTGGTGCACACCTTTAATCCCAGCACCCGGGAGACAGAGGCACAGGGACCCCCAAGTTCCGAGGCCCAACCTGTCTATAGAGACATACCCTCCCCCCTTAATATTTTTTAAAGTAAAATAAAGAAGCCAGGGAGACAGCTCAGTGGTTAAGAGCACTAATTGCTCCTCCATAGGACTGGGGTTCAATTCCCAGTACCTACATGGCAGCTCACAACTGTCTGTAACTCCAGGGTCCAATACCTTTATACAGGCATACATACAGGCAAAACACCAATGCACATAAAAATACATTATTAAAAAGTAAAATAAATAAAATTCAAACTCATGAGTTTACAGTTTAATATTTTTTCTTTCCTTTTTTAAAAACAAGATTTCATATTCCAGGCTGGCCTCAAACCTGCTATTAGCTAGGGATGACCTTGAACTTCTGACCCTCCTGATTCTACCTCTTAGGTGCTAAGATTACATGCATGAACCACAAAGCCTGCTTAAATTTGAGCATCTAAAAATGCCAGCCCCAGAGATGAATGCCTTTAGTTCTAGGCAAAGGCAAGAAGGTATCTGTGAGTTCAAAGCCACAGAGGGCTACAGAGTTGAGTTCCAGGCCAGAGCTACATAGTGGGACCCAGCCTAAAACAAAAGTTTATTTTTACTTTATGTGTTTGTATGCAATGTATGTCATGTATACAGGTACCTGTGGAGGCCAGAAGAAGGCATTTGATCCCCTAAATATGGACTTAGAGATGGTTGCAAGCTTCCCAACTTGAATGCAAGGAATTGAACTCGGGCCCTCTGGAAGAGCAGGGATTCTCAACTGCTGAGCCATCTCTCCAGATCCCCCAGTTCAAGCTTTTTGTACCTCTACATTATACAATTTCTTTAGTCCACTGGTACTGAAGGGTTAATCAGTTAGGAATGAATATTTTATAGAGCAAATAAGTATGTATCATGGATCATGTTTTAAAGAAAAAGCTTTTCCTTTAAACAGTTACTCAGTTTTTCCTGAACTTAGCTTTGTGATTCAATCAATTAAAGCAGCTTGGATCTGTGGGTCACCTCTGGGAAACTGCACCAACAGTGCCCACATGCTGCTGCTACAGCTCATCTCAGGGGCATATTATGCAGCACCCAGGTTTGGTAATGGCCTGACAGCCAATCAGCCACCCAGTGCTACATTGTAAAACTCAGATTAAGGTGAGATGTGCTTGTGCACACCTGTAACCCCAGCACTCAGGAAGCTCAGGCAAAAGGATCACAATAATCTGAAGGGCTACACAGTGAGTTCCAGGACAGTCATTGGTAGCGTCTGAGACTTTGACTCAAAAACACCCCCCCCCAAAAATAGAATGACTCATGTTACTAATAAGATTTTGGAGGCCTGGTGTAGTGGCTTCTGTCGTCTAAAATCCCAGTACTTTCGAGGCTGAGACAGGAGGACCACTGTAGATTCAAGGCTTGCCTGGGCTACATAGTAAATTCTACAACTGCCTAAATACCCTATCTCAAAATGGTGATTGGGGAATGTATGCAGTACTCAGGAGACAGAGGCAGAGCCCCAAGAGTATGAGGCTAGCCTGATCTACATACTGTACAGGCTGTAACAGGGAGCTCTGAAACATTAACAGCACCTTCGAAGGTAGCATTTATGCAGGTTGAATCTCATTGTATTTCTCGATCATTTTTATTTATAAAGATGGTGTCCTCACTAACTTGTTTGCTAATAACCAATGTTCATAGCGGGTCACAAGCAATGATTCTAGGCTGCAAAAGACATTAGAGATTGAGAGACAGAGACAGAGAGAGAGAGAGAGAGAGAGAGAGAGAGAGAGAGAGAGAGAGAGAGAGAGAGAGAGAGAGAGAGAGAGAGAGAGGGAAGATTATCACGTTACAGGCATACATTCACTATCAAGAGCATCTTAATCACAGAAATGTTAAAGGAATTTTAATGGAAAATACCTCTTAGAATTAAGGAACTATGTTAAAAGGTAAATGAGTCATGCATTCCTCTTTCTGGTTAAGTTTCTAGCTTGCTGTGGCTGTTTACTACGCAGATGTGCCTCTGAGTTATAACTCAGAATGTGTCTTTACACACTGGGCCTAAAAGACTCATGGCTTTTGCTTTAATATCGCACTTCTTCAACCCAACTATCACGACATATCACAAGCCTTGGAAACAAGACTAGGATATAGATAGCTCGGTTAGTATCAAGTGCTGATCAAATCTAAATCCTTAATATAAATACACCTAGGCTAAGGGATATAGCTAAGCAGTAGAACGCTTGCCCAGAATGCATGAGACCCTTGATCACTAGCATAGCAAAATAAACACAAATGCGCGCGCACACACACACACACACACACACACACACACACACACACACACACACACACACACACAGCTCAGGCCTATCACAGTGATATCTATGGGTTACCACTTGACGATGGTATGTAACCCAGCACATGTAAAAGAACTGAAAGGTAAGAACGTTATCAGCAGACAGGAACCAACAATCACAGGCTGTTGAATAAGGGAAAGGTACTTTGGAAATATGTATCTTCCACAAAGGAATGTGATGTTATCAGATTTCGTCTTTTAATATATTATTATTTATCTGCATGTCTGTGTATATTGGAGGAAGCAGGCAGTGTAGGGGGCAGAGGACAACTTTGTGTAGTTGGTTCTTTTCTTCTATGTTTATATGAGTTCCAGGGATCCAACTCAAGTTGTTAGGCTTGTATAGCAAGCCTTTTACATATTGAGACATCTCTCTAGGCCACAAGGCAGATTTCTATATGGCTTCAAATTTCATACTATTCTATGCAGCAACAAAATTTGTTTTCCTGTGAAACCGCCTGGAGTAAAAGAGGTTTCCAGATACTTTTAATTAAACTATTTCCTAGAATAACCTATTTGAGTTCTTTTTCTTTAACCTCCATAAAAGAAGCCATGAAAGCTTTTTTCCGCAAAGAACGTAAAGGAGAGTGTCCAATTCTCCTGCCACCCCACCTCCACAAGCCACCACTTTTCAAATATGTCATGTTTTTTATTATATATACGAAAGAAAAACAATGACACTTAATAATAGAGCTTTGAACCTAATTTCTAACTATGAAACCAGTGGATTTATCCTCTATTTCTTAGTAAATAACTTATATCTTAACATAAATAAGGCAGATTCGGTGACTCACACAATCCCAGCACTTGGAAGATTGGGATAGTACTACAAAAGACTCTGAAATCAGCACATTAGATAGTGAGTTCCAGGCCAGTATGGGCTACAGAGTGGAACTCTATCTCAAATATAAAAGAACAACATCCCTGCCCTTGGGAGGCAGAGGCAGGTGGATATCTGTAAGTTCCAGGTCAACCAGGGTTACATAGTGAAATCTTGTCTCAACACCAATCAAACAAAACCCTATTATAATCTAATAGCTAATCATTGTACTCTAAAACTAGATGTGACAGACTCTAGAAACCTTGCAGAAGCTGTAATTACACTAAACTTTTCCTTTATAACATTTAACTGTAATTATATTTGTGTGTGAGTGATTCTGTCTTTTGTTAGTTTTTTTTTTTTTTTCCAGGCAGGGACCCAATGTATAGCACTTCTGGCCTCCAACTCACAGAAATCTGCCTGGCTCTGCCTCCTGAGTGCTGGGATTAAAGGTGGGAGGCACCATGCCTTACTTCTCCCCTTAGTTTTTTGTTTTTTGTTTTTTTTTTCAGACAGGGCTTCTCTGTATTGTTTTGGAGCCTGTCCTGCAACTCGCTCGGTAGACCAGGCTGGTCTCAAACTCACAGAGATCCACCTGCCTCTGCCTCCAGAGTGCTGGGATTAAAGACATGCTCCAGCACTGCCCAGCTCTCCCCTTAGTTTTAAATGAGTGGGCTTTAGCTCCATTTCCTTTTCTATTTTGACAAGCACCCTACTTAACCATACAACCCTAAAGGAATTAATGTCATCAAAGCAGCTTAAATGTTAAGCTCAATTTATATCATAAACTTCCTCAGTTATTGTAAACTATGTATTCCAGTTTGTCTGGGCCCCGCAGGCCCATAACCTGTTAAAAATTATCTTCATTTGTAAGGTGAGAGAAATAGTGAAAAATTGAGTGTCTGTAGGAGAGAAGAGTGTTGAGTTGTCTGAATGCCAGACAGTCACTCTATTACAGGGCTACATCCCCAGTCCCTATGAACTTTTAACAGGGGGATGATAAATAAATAATATTTAATCACGGCACCAGGAGGCAGAGGCAGGCAGATCTCTGTGAATTCAAGGCCAGCCTGAACTCAAGGGGGCTCCAGGACAGCCAGGACTGCAGAGAGACCCTGTCTTAAAGCAAACAAACACCCCCCCAAAAGCAAACAAAAAAATAACATTGCTGATAACAAAGCAAAGGAGAAAAGTGGAAAAGCGAGTCACCAGCAAAACCCTCTAGAATGGGGGTGCATTTCAATACCTCAATTAGCTTGTCTCCTTTCACTACATCCAGATGTAAGCCAGGTGGGGGTTTACCTGCCCTGGAAAAGAAGAGTGAGGAAAAAAGAGCATTTTTCAGGATGAGTCCACAAATGTCTTTTACAATCCCTACCCCGTTCAACATCGAGGTTCTCCTGCCAGCCTATAATTAGTTCGTGTTCAAACAGAAATGCCATGTACTTCAGTGTGAGATCTTCTTTCTACCTTTGACACTTCCTTCCCAAGTGACTCAATTGTTCCAGGAGACTCTGATGGATCCGTATTTAGAGCAGCCCAAAAAAACATTTTAGCACTGGCTATGCACTGCAGAGAGAAAGCAGCTCAGCATCTAAGTATGTCTCCTCACCTGGAGAGGTTCATTCTTTTTGCTTATTTTTGGAGACTGGGTCTCATGTATCCCAGGCCAGCCTCAAACCCTAGTGGGTTTGACCTGAGGATGACCTTGAACACCTGGGCCTCCCACCTCCACCTTCTCTGTACTGGGATTACAGGTGTACACCACCATGCCTGGTTTAACCTGGGGTTTTAACCTAAGATTTACTAGTCCTGACAGAACATGAAGACAGAATAAATCAGTTGTTTTGCTGGGTACAGAAGCATATATCTGAATTTCCATGAGAGGGATCATTCCAAGTTCAAGGCCATCCTAATTTATATAGCAAGTTCCACACTAGCCAGGATTACATATGCAGATCTTGCCCCTAAACAAACAAACAAAAGTAAAACCAACCAAACAATAACAAAAAATTAGTTGTTTGGGGACTGATCAGTATTAGTCTCAACACAAAATAAGCAGAAACTATTACCCAAATGAACTCTTGAGACCAAATCAGAGATGTCTAATTAGGGAACTAGGGCAGATCAAAATCATGCCCATGAAACCAAGTACCCCAAACAGGTTTTTCTGCAAAAACATAATTCATCAAACTTTTCTCTGTTCTTTGCTTTATCATTCAAGGGAGACGTGTGCATGTCAAGTCACCTGACATTTAATGACAGGTGATCTCAAAGAGTCTCTTTATATTTGGCTGGCCCAAATTTGAAATCAATGCAGTCAGGGACCAGTGTGGATAAAGAATTTGTAGGTTGAAGCAAATGGCTGGGTTTTGTTTTTTGTTTTAAGGATAAAGAAACCCAGAAAACAGCCACACAACTCATTTGCTTCCTGGGCTTGCTCGTTTGAACCTTCCAGGGCCTTCCATTTGCACAGAAGAAACATACCCTGTCTACCTAATAGAAGATTCAACACAGTCATCTCACGGTTCTGCCTCAACCTTTTATGTTAGTAGCTAAAAGGACAGTGCACTGGACAAAAGCCCATTTTGTTCGAGAAACAGGTTAAAATGAGCATTAAAGCCAAAATATATTTTCTGAATATCCTATCATGTGCGTGACTCGGGCCTAGGAGCTGAGAATGATGCCTGTGTTTTTGCCCTTGAAGGTCTCAATGGAACAGAAGACCGAGAAGTAATATGTTAATAACCGTGAGGAGCCGCAACAGCAGAAAGGGCTCTAACTCGCATGCATCCTCGTGCAAAGCAATGCGTATTTATTCATCCTGTACCCTACTCAAAGCTTAAATCATCTCCTCTGAACTTCCCCAAGGAATGAAAATGGTGTATTCTAACAACTTCTGGTGTCTTTTGTACCGGGCTTCGTGCTGGTCTGGTCACAGAGAACAAGGGGGACAGTTCCGCGCCATCCCTGCCCTCAGGGAGCTCCCAGTCCGCGGGAGCAGGGTAAGCAGCGCTGGGAGGATGCAGCAGGCACGGAGGGCTGCAGCAGCAGGCTGGGCTGGGGTAGGGAAGCCAGCTCGTGCGCGCTCGGGACGGCCAACCCCGGGGGCAGGTATGAGGCTCCCTCAGAGCACCAGGCACTCGATGAGGAGTTGGGGCAAGTTAGGGGCCACGGCCTGAAGCACCTCGGCGGGCGACTGACCCCCCAAGGGCTGTCTAAAGTGAACGCCTTCGAGCTCCCAAACCTCGGTTTCCTCGGAGGCTGGGCCCCGGTTGCTCCACACCTCGCCCGGCCCCTCACAGCGGACAGTTTTCCCTCAATCATTCCAGGCTCTTTTTGAGGCGTTCGCTTCGTTTCAAGAAAAAAGGAGAAAGAAAAAATCCCGGCGTCCCTTCCTGCCCCGGCTACCCACGCCAGGCCGCTCCAGCCCCAGCAGCCCCGCCACTCACCAGGTCGGGCAGTCGAACAGCGGGAGGCTAGAGCCGGAGTTCGCGGCTGCCGCCATCTTGCGTCTCCCCCTCCCATTTGGCGGGCCCGAAGCACGCCGGGAAACTGGGAGGTCGAGAGGGAAGAGGCGGCATCCCAGCAGGCTGTGCGCGCAGGCGCACGCACAACGCAAGCACGCTCGCGGCGGGCGCCTCTGGTGGTGGTTAGTTTTATCTTGAAGTCTGCGAGGTTTGAGGCGTTTGCTGGGGATCTCGAGCCTCGGGGTTCTCTATGGTCTCAGGGTCTGAAGCGGCTTGTGCCGAGGCGTCGCTTTCCCTCTCGGCTCTCCTCCAAAAGCTCCTGAGCTCCGTAATCTGCATTAACTCCCAGCCTTTCGCGCTCCATCTAGAGATGAGCAAGCGATCGCTAGAGATAGAAAGTGATTGCTCATCCCGTTTTTGCTTCCAGCCCTCTTCCGGAAAGCTGCATCCAAAAGCCGCATTCTTACTCATTTGTCCTTTCTAATCCAAGTCTGGCGTGTTACAGCTCAGTGGCAGTGAATGAATAAGGCCACTGTTGAGTCTCCAGCACCAGTAATTTCTGAGGCTCTATAGATTACTGGGAGTCTGTGTCAGAGATCATGAAGTCTGTTTATGGAAACTTTGGATAAACTGCAGCCAGGCGCAGGCCCAAACAGAAAAAGGCGTCCAAATTCTTACTGGGCATAGGTCAAATGGTTAATAAAAGACCCTTAGGATTTTTTCACTTGGGTCACGGTGACTATACTGTTCAAAGAAGCTTTAGGATTGCCGTCTTCCTCCAAGTCCCCGCTTTCTGGTTGTAATGGCTTTGTCTATTGAGTGTTTATTGCGAAGTATGTATTTTATGTGGATCATCTCACATGGTATTCCCAACGTTCAAGATGGATCGATTCCAGAAGAAAGGCTCAGGGTGAGTTGTCTACCCTCACCCTAAAACAAGGAGTGGGATTCAAACCCGAGTCTATATGACGCCAAAGGCCAGGCTGTCACAATTCTCATAGGCTTCTGACATACCCTTACTAGTATGCAGCTGAGGTCCTTTTACACTTTTACAGAAAACCCGGGGTGATGATCTGGCAGTGTTCTTTTTTAAGAAACAAATTGTGGAAAGGTGTGGTAGCACATGCCTGAAATCCCAGCGCTAGGGAGGTATAGGTAGGAGGATCAGGAATTCCAGAAGGCAGACTCAGCTACCACAGTCTAAGCTTTTTGAGATCCTATTTCAAAAATTCTGTAGAATTATTGTTCACTAAGAAGGGCACTGTTCAGTTGGGCAGTGGTGACACACATGCCTTTAATCCCAGCACTCGGGAGGCAGAGGCAGGTGGATCTCTGTGAGTTCGAGGCCAGTCTGGTCTACAGAGAGAGATCCAGGACAGCCTCCAAACAATACAGAGCTGTCTTGAAAAACCAAAAAAAAAAAAAAATTCTCTGGATGAATCTCCAGGTTTCAAGATGTAACTGCAATATAACATTAAGTAGATCCTACTACAGATGGTTGTGAGCCACCATGTGGTTGCTGGGAGTGGAACTCAGGACCTCTGGAAGGTCGGTGCTCTTAACTTCTGAGCCATCTCTTCAGGACCCAGGTCAGGATAGTCAGAGCTATGTAGAAAGATCCTGTCTCAAAATGTAAACTAAAGTAAAATAAAATACAAAAGGACTGTTAATGCCCCCTTTCAGCTTTGTGATCCCAAAGACCAAACTGATAGAAAAAAATCTGAATTCTAAACATTACTTCAGGCAAGCAAATAATCCTGTGATTCCTTATTATATATCACAGGATACGATTTCTGAGAAGAATCAAAGAGTTGCAAAAATGTTTTGAATGAAGCATAGTAAATATAGAAAGTGTGTGTGACTATTTTATTTTTGAAGACAGGGTTTCTCTGCGTAGCTCTGGATCCTGTCCTGGAATTTGCTCTGTAGACCAGGCTGGCAGAGATCTGCTGCCTCTGCCTCCTGAGTGGTGGGATTAAAGACCTGTGCAACCATCGCCCAGCTAGTAAACTATATTTTTAAAAAATAATTTATTCACTTTTATTTCATTTGCATTGATATTTTGCCTGCATGTATGTCTGTGTGAGGGTGTCAGATTTTGGAGTTAGAGACAGTTGTGAGCTGCCATGTGGGTGCTGGGAATTGAACCCAAGTCCTCTGGAAGACCAATCAGTGCTCTTAACCTCTGAGCTATCGCTCCAGCCCTGTAAACTACATTTTAAAAGATTGTTTTAAAATGTTCTGGGCTGGGTGTGGTGGCTCATGCCTTTGACTCCAGCACTAGGGAGGCAGAGGCAGGTGGATCCCCGTGAGTCTGAGGCCAGCCTGTATCTCTGGGCACCACATGGGTGTCTGACGCCCTCAAAGGCCAGAAGGGGATAACAGATTCCCTGGAACTGCAACTGCAGACAATTATGATCTGCCATGGGGTGCTAGGACCCAAATCTGGGTTGAATGCAAGATCACCAAGTGTTCTTAACTGTGGAGGCAGTTCTCTAAGCTCTACGAAATAAAACACTTATGGCAGAGAGTGTGGTTAGTTGTAGTAGGGTGTTTGCCTAGCTTGTGCAAGGCACCACACATATACAAAGATACTTTCATCTGGCAATTGGTGTGAGCTTTTGAGTTTTGAATCCCCTTTCAGGCATGAGGTAGTGCTGAAGTCATTTCTAGCTATCAATGGCTGGACAAAATCCTAGCTAAAGTTCAACTTTCAATTTCTTAATCTCTGTGTGGTCTACCAACTGTTATCCACAAGAAACCTAAATGGTGTATTCTTACCCTTACAATTCTCTACTACATTATTATGTCCCCATCCCAGCATAGCTTCTGGTGTCTCCGGACTTTACACTTAACAAGGCCCTCACAAAGCAAAACGCTCTGCTTGGTGCCAATGGTGTCAGTGCAGACCAGCAAACTGAAGGACAGCAATACAGTTAACTTCTGAAATAAAGACTAAATTAGTTGTCATAGCCAAAGAGAAGTTAATTTCTTAAGTCTCCCACAGACTTCTCTAGACTTGAATTTAAAGACTTTAGTATTTTAAGACTCTGACAGGTTTCTCTAGTATAAAATCTAAAGACATTAAAAGCTGTCAAAAAAAAAACAACTTTAAGTAATAGTCAGATGTGGTGACACATTACTTGTAATCTTAGCACCTGAGAGGTAGAAGCAGAAGAATCACATGTTCTGCTCCACATGAGACCCCATGACCAAAGGAAAAAACATACGAAGCAGTGCACAACCACCCATGACTCTAGCTCCAGGGATCTAACACTCTCTTCTGGCCTTTATCTGTACACACACATGTGGCATACACAGACACAAACATATGCACATAAATAAAAATAAATCTTAAAACATCTTTGGTATGATCAAATGAAGACAATGGAAAGTTGCATGGTTAGACATTATAAGAGGGAAGCTTCAGGGCTGGTGATATGGCTCTGAGGTTAAGAGCACTTGCTAATCTTTCAGAGGTCCTGAGTTCGATTCCCTGCAACCACATGGTGGCTCACAACCATCTGTAATTCGATCTGGTGCCCGCTTCTGACCTGAAGGAATATATGCTGCAGGCAGAACGATGTATACTCATAATAAATAAGTAGGTCTTTTTTTTTTTAAAGAGGGAAGCTTCGATAGCAGGTGATGGAGGGAAAGTGCACAGGTGTACTGAAGGAGATGATGCTAGTTTCAGTAGAAATGACCAGTTCTCCAGGTCTGTCTTAGAGGAGGCTTCTCTCAGCGATGCATAGACTATACATACTGTGTAATGGTGGTTTGAAATGTGAGTAAACAAGATGACCATGATTACAAGCTGTCTGATCATGGGCAGGGTACATTTGTCTCCACTTCTTGAATCATTAAGAGTATACAATGGGGGCTGGAGAGATGGCTCAGAGGTTATGAGCACTGACTGCTCTTCCAGAGGTCCTGAGTTCAATTCCCAGCAACCACAAGGTAGCTCACAACCATCTACAATTCAATCTGATACATGCCCTCTTCTGGCATGTAGACAAACTGTATATGTAATAAATAAATAAATCTTAAAAAAAAAAAGAGTGCCGGGCGTTGGTGGCACACGCCTTTAATCCCAGCACTCGGGAGGCAGAGGCAGGCGGATCTCTGTGAGTTCAAGGCTGGGCTGGACCGATAGCCTCCAAAACAATACAGAGAAACCCTGTCTCGAAAAACCAAAAAAAAAAAAAAAAAAAAAAAAAAAAAAGAGTACAAGATGGCTCAGCAGGTAAAAGCCAACATTGACAATCTGAGTTCGGCTCCTTGAGCCATACAGGAAAGAGAGAACAGACTCTTGCAAGTTGTTCTGATTCCTATATGCATTCTGTGACAGGCCACACCCTTCCCAAATAAATAAATGTAAAAAAAAACTTAAGGAGGTCTAGCGATGGTTCCACCATAAAGAGCAATTGCTGCTTGTGCAGAAAACCTGGGTTTGATTCCCAGCACCTACACTGCAGCTCACAATCATTTGTAACTCCAATTCAAGGGAATCCAACTCCCCCGTACCAGTCATGTATGTAGTACACATACATGCATGCAGGCAAAATACACATATACATATATAAAATAAAAACCAATAAAAAACAGAAAGGGGCTGCAATAAATCTCCCAGATAGCTTTATAGGTATAATACATAAATAAGTGTAAGAGAATCTAGCATAGTAGCTTGCTGGCACTAAAGGCTCAAATATTTCACAAATGACATGCAAAGCACCTCAAGCCTTTAAATTCCTGTTCAGTCAGTAAAGCACCTGCCTTGCTAAGTGGACCTAAGTTTAGGTCCTCAAAAACCCAAGTAAAAAGCCAGAACTGGTGGTGCATGTCTGTAATTTCAATCATGGAAGGATGGGAAGCAGACACAGGCAAAACCCTGGAAGCTCACTGGTCAGCTAGTCTCACCTACCTGGCAAAGTAAGTTTGCAAGAGATCCTGTCTCAAACAGAAGATAACAGACACCTGAGGAACAACTCCCAAGGTTCTCCTAGGATCTGTACAAGTATGCATGCATATATCTCTACACATGCATATGCACACCTACGCATACATAGGAGCTTCCCTCAGTCCCTCCTACACACAAAGAAATTTAGAAAGGAAATTTTCTCAGATACAATTAAAAATGTGAATCAAAACTTCACTATGGCATTATTCTAATTTCTCCACAGGTAAAATCTTGGTCTTAATCATGATCCACCTCTAAAGCTTGTATCATTACCAGTCTATTCCTCTTGTTACACCAGGCATCCCAGCAGATGTCTTTATCTGCTAAGCTGCTTTGACAGCTACAAATTTATTCTTTCCTTTCTTGCTTTTAGACAGGATATCAGAATGTCGACTAGGCTGGTCTCAAACTCAGATGCAGCTGTCTCTGGCTCACAAGTGCTAGGATTAATAAAGGTGTGTGCCACCATGCCCAGCCTAAGTTTATTCTTTAAAAATTAAATGCTCACCTGGCGAGATGGCTCAGCAGTGGTTTGCAAAGGGCCCCAATTTGATTCCCAGCATCCACACAGTGGCTCACAACAGTCTCTAACTCCAGTTCCAGGGGACCTGATGCCCTCTTCTGACCTACTTGGGTGCCAGGCACACACAAGGCGCACACACAAGGCGCGCACACACACACACACACACACACACACACACACACCTTCTAAATTAAGTCTTAGCTAGATAGAGAATTTAAAGTAGTTGTACTTTGTAGTGCTAGAAAGCAATACTGGAAAGAATCCTTGGAAGGCTAGGGCTATAATATTCGTGTCTGAAAAAAAAAAAAAAACAGGAAAGAGAGCAGGAGATTCCCAGCCCTAGGACACAGAATGGACTGAGATGTGACTTGAGTTATGCAGTCTGCACTAAGTGACCAAAAGCAAAAGCTTCATTCCCACGATAAGA